GTACCTTACTACAATTATCAAAAACTAATGGACACAAAAAAAATTGATTTATTTTTAATTCTTCATTATTGTTGGTGATATGGAACTAATTATGGTCGGTAGATGGATTTGGATTAAAAAGTTTATACTTTAGCATTACTTGTGACAAAGGGTTTAATTTTATCAAGAATTATATGTGATTTTGAATCTTATATGATGTGTAATGTATTTTTTTCTTTTTATATTATTTATTTCTCTTTTGTCAATGATAAAAAAATAAAAGTTTAAGTGTTCGAACAAAGAAACAAAACACAAAATCAAATACAAAAGCACAAATGGATGGATAAGATTTTTAAAGTGGGCTCTACTAACATATCCGGTAAAATCTTGTTCATCTATGTGCTTTATGTATAGATTTTTGTAATCTATCTATTTCTGTATTACTAGCGTAATTAACTCTAAAAACATTACTTAAATTTATTCTCATTGATGTACATAAAGTTAAGTCTTAATTGATTCATTCTTAATAAAGAGCCAACATAAACCCTTCACAAAAGTAAATTTAGAGCTGATATTTTAAATATTTTTTTAATAATAATATGTAAATGCAATTTTTAATTTTTTTTTATTTATTGTTTTAGATCTTTCCCAATTAGCAGGAAGACAAGATTGTTTGGAAACATGGAAAAGAATATAAGGTTAGACATATCGTTTTTTGCTTGAATTTAGAAAAGGAAAATAAATATTAGTCAGTGTGTCTGGTTTCAGTTTTTTAAATTAAATTTTTTGAAAATTAAGTTTTTTGTTTTTCGTATTTTTTTGTTTTTAGTGAATATTTTTAAAATTTTAAGCTTTTTTTTAAACTTTTTTAGATGCATCTTATTTAGATGTGTCTAAAAAGTAAAATATTTGTGAAAAAATATTTTAAAGAATTAATAAATACACAAAATACGAAAAATGTACTAAATTTTCAATTTTTTTTTGTATTTTTGATATTTAGTGAATTTTTTTAAAACAAAAATTATACCTTTTAAGTGTATTAATGTTAAGTGTGTTTAAAAATTAAAAAAAAATTATTTAAAAAATTTTAAAAATTCAGTGAAAATAAGAAAGTAACATTTTTTGAAAAGTATTTTTAGAAAGCTCAAACCAAGCAAAAAAAATTTTCTTAGGTAGTGGGATTTTAAGTTTGTCAATAAAATAATAATAATAAAAAGACATACCATAAGTCCTGTCTAGAACAGAGGTTGAGAGAAATAAATAATAAGTAAATAACATTTTCTCATAACATTTTCTCTATTTATTTTTCTAGAGAGTTTGATTCTCATTACCTACACCACAATAGCCCTGTTTGGTAGAGCTGTGGGAAAGTGCTTATAGCTTATGCCTAAACAGCTTATAGCTTATAACTATGAACATAAGCTGATTTCTGACTTATTCTTAAAGCATTTCTTGCCCCACTCAAAGAATAAGCTGATTTCTGACTTCCAAAAAGCTATAAGCTATAAGGTATAAGCTAAACCAAACACATCAAAATAGCTTAAATTAAGATGAAAACTGAAATAAGCTGATTATAATTTCTGCCAAACAGGCACAATAAAGAGTTGACTGAGGAAATAAAGGGCTCTCTTTAGGGCTACAACCAGTTGAATTGTTTGTGACTCGACTTGACTCAACTAGTTAAAGGTTCGACTTGATTTGTTAAATAAATAAATGAAATTGAGTTAGATTTTAGGCTCGTTTCGTAAACGAACTAAATTTGAGTTGGAATAAGCCTCGGTTTGGCAAGTTGGTTTATGGGTTTTTTTGGCTATTTTAGCCACAAAAGATAAAATAAGCTATTTTAGCCACAACAAACAAAACATCACATCCAACCCATAATTATTATACTATTCTCTCACAAAAAAAGTCAAAAAAGTCAAAAAGTCAAAAAATTCTTCCCAAACCAAACTTTTTAGCCCACTAAAATAGCCAAAAAGCCAATCCACTTCCCAAACGAAGCCTAAGTTCAACTCGTTTATCTTTGCTTAAATTATAAAATAAATATATTATTTATATATTAAATAATATAAAATATGTAAATAATAGCATACTTATATTATTTATATGTTAAAATAATATAAATACTTATTATTAAATAATATATAAATATATTATTGATATATTAACGAACCAAGCTAAAATCGAGCTGAATAATTAGACTCGATAAACAAACGAACTGAACTCGAGGTCAGTAAAGCTCAGTTCAATTTGTTTGCAACCCCAGCTCTCTTAAATGTGATATTTGTGTTAAAATATTATGGTGCTAGACAAGTATGTTTTGTCATTTATTTCTTTTTTAAAAAAACAAAGTAAAATCTAATAAAAAATAAACGTTGCAACTTTGTGAAGAAAGCATATTGTGACTTTATATAACATTAATTATTGTAATTTAGTTAGGTCATTATTTAAGCAATAATGCATATACACACACTTCTTCTTTTCTTTTTTTTGATTTTGACTATGCACAAACTTTTATTTGGCACTAAAAGGTGTGTGTTGACAACATGAGTCCTACCAAAAAGTTGTGGCCATGTATGTGTCAAACAATATTTTTGTTATAAAGTTGTGTGGGAATTAAAATAAAATTCACATGAAATCCAACAAAAAAGTTAGTATAATTAAGGTCATAAAATTTAAGGAGAAAGCTTTGAAATCATGCAGCTGTCATATAGGCACATAAATAATTTCATAAAATAAGATAGGATGTGACTTAAATTATTTGTATTTATAATTGTAAATAAAATGAATATATTTATGGCTGTGAATATTTTATTTTAATTTTTTTTGAGACGCATAAAAGCACATTTTAATTTTACCTATAATATATTACAGGTTATGAATCATCTTTTGATTTGTTACAAATTTAATCACGTAATGTCGGACTCTCTTGCCATGTCATTAAGCTTGTTTGGTGAAATTTATTATAAGTTAAAATTAATAATAAAAAATATAAGTCAAAAGTTTCAGGTTTTTTTCGACTTTTCAAATAAATCACAATTTTTTCTTTCGAGATTTTTGCCTTTAGTGATTTTTTTTTATTTATTTAAATTATGTCAATTTTTTTCTTTTCTTTTTCAGTTTGTCTTGTATAGATGAATCCAAAAAAGATTTTACTTCATTTTTTGAAAAAAAAATTAAAAAAAGAAGCAAAAAAAAAAAGTCTACCATTTTTTTTATTTATTTTTGTCTTTTTTAGAAAATTTCAATTCTTTTTTAATATTATAGCTCATCTCTTCTGATAGAGTTAGAAACCTAAAACTTTTAAAAAAAAGTGTATTAAAAACGAAGAAAAAAACCAACAAAAAAAAAGGTGAACTTTCCCCAAGCTATTTTTATCTAAAATATAGGCAGAATTTATCAAACAACCTGACACACAAATAACTTAAATTAGGAAACGAATTGATTAGAGGAGGATATTTTTGTCTTCTATTTTTTTATTATCAATTTTTAATATATAGGGATTATTTGGGAAGTACAGTAGAGGCTAACATAATTAATAAAATAAAATATTTTATCCAAGTTATAAGCATTTTATTTTTTTCTCACAGCCATCACATCAATTACAAAAAAGAGTCAACAAACTTTATAAATATAATTTTTTTTAATTAGGTTAAAATAACCAAATAACTAAAAAACCAATAAAAATAGCTAATTTTCCAAACGGGGCCATAATAAGATATTGGCTTACGAGGGTTATGTTTGAAATGTGGGTTGCCTTTTTGAGTTTTTGGCTATTTTAATCTGGAGCTAAAAAATATCGTTTAAGATAGGTTTTTTGATTTTTTTGATTTTTGTGAGAGAAAAAATGAAATAATTATAATTTGGATGTGACATTTTATCTTATTAATTTTTTAACTTATTTTATCTTTGTAACTATTTTAGCATGTAACCCTAAAAATTCTCATGCCAAATGAGGACTAACTTATTTCAGTCACATTATCTCTTTATTTTTTTATACATCTTTTTATAATAAAAAAAAATTAACTTATAGTTTGAGAACTAGGAAAAAAAATTACTTATTAACTTTTTTTAAAAATATATATATATAAAAATAATATCCAATAAACTAATTTTTTTCCTAATCGTCGAAATAGACCACCACACCCCAAACAATTTTTGTATCATTCCGATGCGAATGAATTTAAAAGTTTAAATTGTACTACATTTATTTCTTTTTTGTTTTACATTTGTTTATTCTATGTTTTGTATTTTTTGTGCGCGTAGATTATTATTTTTTATTAAAAAAAATTACTATAATTTCTAGCTAATATTATTATTAGGGTCTGTTGGGGAAAAAAAATTTTAACCTAACTTTTTATTATTATTTTTTTTTTTGACTAATTTAACCTGCCTAAATTAGTTCCGTTTGAAAAGAATTTTTAAATTTTTTTTAACTATAAAAAAATTGAAATAATTATAATTTTAATGTGAACTTTTTTGTTTTTCAATTTTTTTGAATCACGCCACTTTTTTACGTTTTTTTTTTTGCATGTTAAAAAAAAAACTAAGAAATTTATTTTTAACCTACTTTCTAAAATAAGTCATTATCTTATCGGTTTATTTTATTTTTTGTATTTTTTTAATCCCAACCTAAACCTAATTCACTTGTCAAAATCACAAAAAAAAAAATGTGAAAGAAATCAACCAATGAAAAAATAAAAGAGATAAACAGGCTTAAGTTTCGTTTGGGATGTGGATTAGGTTTTTGATTTTTTGACTATTTTAACCTGAGGTTAAAAAATCTAATTTGAGACAAACATTTTGATTTTTTTGAGTTTTGTAAAAAAAAAGTTATAATTTAGTTATAACATTTTACCTTATTAATTTTTTAAACTATTTCATCATTTTGTAATTAAAATAATTAAAAATTCAGATTTTTTGGCATGCCTAACGAAGGCGTACAAGAAAATAATTATAAAAAATGAAAATAAAAAAGAAAAAAAAAAAAATATCACAGAGAGCATAGAGACTAGAGAGAGAACTGAGAAGAGAATGAAAGCTCAGTGAGGAAGAAAAGAAGCAAAACCTGCCCGGTAGCTCTCTCCATCTCTCTCTCTCTCTCTCTCTCTCTCTCTCTCTCTCTCTTCAATGTATTATCTGATGAGAGAGAAGAAGAAGCTATTACACGTTTTCTCCTATTCGATCCACTAATCTCTCTCTGCATTTCCGATCTACACAACAACACGCACAACACTTGACAATGCTCGCAGATCCGAGTTTTTTTATTCAGCTCCAAGCTCCTTTTTCTCTTCAGTTTCGTTGCAAAATCGAGATCTCAATCGCTTCTTCACGAGCTGTGTCGAGTTGGTGTGAGTGAGTGAGTTCGTGTTTTCAAGGCGTTTGACTTCGGTGGCGACGGTAAGTCAAGGCTCGAAATGACAACTCTGTACTTGTAGTTTGAACTCAGGACCGAGTCTTTTAGAGTTGAATTAGGGTTTTGTTTCGAGTAGCTGTCGCTTTCGGGATCACAATCTGACAAATCTGGGGTTCTAGTACATGGCTTTGGCCTTGAATTCTTTGTTTTTTGTGTAGATATGGCTTCACATTTGAACTGGCACTGGAATTCCAGCTATGCCGTCAATTACCAAGACTGGGTTTTGACTCAATTTGATGCAATTTTCGGATTCGTGTATGGAAATGGAAGTGAATTTCATGAAATCTTGATATCTATCAATGGAGAGTTGAGTTTGGTTTTGATTATCAAAGGGTAATAATAATTGTATCATATGATTTGCAAGTTATTAGTTTTAGGAGGGATCAAGAGGTTTAAGTTATTTATACTACAAACTATAGCTTGATTACATTCTGGTTTTCATGGGTTGTTGTTGTTGTTGTTGATTCCATTTGGGTTGTATGGAAGGTTTGGAGTGATAATTATAGCACAGTAAAATAGGGTAGTGAAAATGCCTCCTTCTCCGGCGATGAGATGCTCCCCTGGGAGGGAGCTTAGAGGGGACAATCACAAAAGAGGGCGCAGTCTTGAGGCCGGAATTCTATTCCGCGAGAAAGATGATGATCTTGCCCTCTTCAATGAGATGCAGACCAGAGAAAAAGACAGTTTCTTGCTTCAATCAAATGATGATTTTGAAGATATATTTTGTAAGTTTCTATTACTGATAGACTGTTGGAATTGGGTTGTTGGTTTCCTTCTTTTGAGAAGTATGGAATTTAGATTATTCTTGTTTTCTCTAGCTGACAGTTATTTGTTTTTTTTTTATATTTTACCTTGATTTGCTTTTTGTAGCTACAAAGTTAAATTACTTCTCAGATTATAAGCTTGGAATCTCCATTCCTGGGCGAGGTGAGAGTAGTGGCCTGCTTAATGCGGATGGGGAGAAAAATGACTACGAATGGTGGGTGATATTTTTCTTCTTGAGATGCTGTCAATTTTACACCCTTTAGTTGAATTTTTTTTTTTTTGGTGGTAATTTTGGAACTTAATACCGAAATTTTTCAAAAAAATGAAAAGAAACAAAAATGAAGCTTCAAGCAGATACTTCTTTAGCAGCACACTAGAGGCTCGTTAGTTTGTTGTCTGGGGGTATGCCCTCTGTTTATGTGGTTTGGCCCTAGTTTTATACCTTGTTTGTTCAATACATTGCTTTATTATCACACAAAATAAGTAAATAAAAATAATTATCAAAAAAAAAAAACGCATTAGTTAATAAAAAGTAAATAAAATTCCAGTAGGAGAAGTTTTTTATATTCATGCAGCTGAAAAATCAGTCTCTAACCACGTAATTGGAAATTATGGCATCACAACTAGTCATTTTAGAAACTAAATTTACAGATATGAATGAATCGTTATTATTCTTTGGAAATATATAAATTCCTTTAATCCTTTTTCACTGTTCTGTAGCTGATCTCACTACTTCACTGTTTTTGGGTTTGATCTAATATCTGGTGTTGTTAAATTAAAGGTTATTAACTCCTCCTGACACCCCTCTCTTCCCTTCTCTGGATGATGAGATGCCTCCGGTTACACTTGCTCAGAGGGGAAGACCTCAAAGTCAACCCATCACAATCTCAAGATCATCCACGGTAGGTCATTGTTCATGTCAATGGGATGAATATTCATCGTTTGTTTACTTGTATCTGTCGATGGTGTCTACTGCTCATGTTTTTCTTTAACATTTTTTATACCATAATGTATCTAATGTGTATCTTATTGTAGATGGAGAAGAATCGCAAAAGTAGTAGAGGTAGTCTGAGCCCAAATCGCTTAAGCCCTTCTCCACGGTCTGGGAATAGTACTTTCCATACGAGGGGAAGCCCATCTTCAGCAGCTCATTCTAGTCCAACTCCTAGTGTTTGCCATGCTACCCCATCACAGAGACCATCTCCCCCACCAAATAAACCATCAACACCTGCTCCAAGGTCTTCGACACCGAATCCTCGGAGGATAAGTACGGGGTCTGGTGGTACTGTATCTTCATCTGGGATAAGGGGTACCTCCCCTGTGAATAAAAGTCGAGGAAACTCGGCATCACCAAAAATAAGGGCATGGCAAACAAATATTCCTGGTTTTTCCTTGGATGCACCTCCTAATCTACGTACTTCATTGGCTGATCGACCAGCATCATATGTGAGGGGTTCCTCACCTGCATCCCGAAATGGTAGGGATTCATCTTCCAGAGGCAGACAGTCAATGTCTCCAACTGCTTCTAGAAGTGTCAGTTCATCACATAGTCATGATCGGGACCGATTTAGCTCCAAGAGTAAAGGTTCTGTTGCATCATCTGGTGATGATGATGTATACTCCCTACAATCTGTTCCTGTGAGTAGCTCAGACTGCTCAGCTTCAAGGAGAGTTGGTGCATTTCCGAGTAGCAGAGCTCCAGCCTTTTCCAAGAAGCCCACTCGAACAGGGCTATCAAGTTCTGCTCCAAAAAGATCTTTTGACTCGGCACTTCGACAAATGGTACTTATTTATCTGTTTCTTTTGGACTGTGATGATGTTTTCTTTGTGACTAGGTTTATGCATGTGAGCATCAACAGATCTGCAAACGATTAGAAAACCTCATTCAATATGTCTGAATTTCATATAAAAAGTTTTATACATGTTCAATAATCTGAATGTTAGAGAAAATTTAGACATCAAAATAAAAAAAAATAGGGGGAGAAAATTTAGGAAACATTTTGATGTTGAATATAGATTTAATTGTTCAATTAGTATTTTTCATAGCATTCCAAGGTAGAATTCATTGAATGGAGTTGTTGGAGAAGGAAACCTTCTCGCTGATAAGGTTAAATAATATTCAGTTTGGTAGTTCTAAGGTAAGCTAAAGGTGATTGCGTACCAAGTGATATTGTAGTATGCATTTAACCTAATTGCCCATTTCAGTTAATGAATTTGTACTTAAAAATGCCATAAAAATTGCAATGTTGTACTTCAAAATTAAGGCACATCCTATGTTACATGGACTCGTGTATGAGTATCAAGTGTGCGTGCGTGTCCAGGCGTTAAATCTCCCTAAGCTCTTAATGTTAGTATATAGGGATATGTATTCAAAAGTTGGATATAAGTTCATGGACATGTCTTGAGCATTTTGTGATTGTATGATATTTTGAGATAAGATGTAACTATGTAGGGATGTACTTGATATTAAATAGGATTTAGGGAAAACCAAAATTTTATATCCCATCCAGATGAGAGGTTTATTTACTATCAAATGTGAGGTTTTTCAAATATTATTCAAAATAAGAGGATTCAAAGCGTCTAATTTGGCTATGGGAGTCGGACACATCCTATGCCATTACCTTTTTCATATCTAGTGGACACGGCTATAATGGCGATTAAGAATCCATGTAACATTGGGCACATCCAAGCACTCAAGATTTATAATCCCTCATGAGCAATTTATAAATTTAGTCAGAACTTCCCACAGTTTCAAATTTGACCCTCTAAACTGATAATGATATAACAATATTTTCATCTTGGAACCGCATCGCATCTCAGTGCCGACAACACTGGTTCTTTCTTTGAACTGGGGGAGTACTGCTTCACTGACTAGAAGCTTCCAAATAGTATTAAGCTTCTTCTAATGTTCTTTAGCATGCAATATGTATGTAAGAAGATGACAATGGAATGTTTCCTCTTGACGCCATCAATCATCATAGAAAGGTATTGGCTGATTCATTGAATTATGACAATCAACTCCCTTTTATCCAAGGTACAATTAAAAAGCAAAGACAAAAATGGCAATCGAATCCCACATGTTCAGCCTAAATTTAATACTTTAATTACATAGTTTTTAAGGAGTCTAATGTCTGCATCTTGGTGCTAGCCAATTTTTATTTTATTTTTTTTTTCCCCTTAAGTAAATTTATTTCTGCAATGGGGGAACCTTGGTAGCACGGATATTGACACAAACATGAGACATGGCGATTTCAAAAAATCAGGACACGAACATGGCGGGGATAAAATAAAAAATAAAAAATCTGCTATATATATGAATATTACATCCATAACAACAACAATTAATGAAAACTAGCATTAATTTGTCATTAATATAATAATAACAAAAAAACTAAATTTATATAAGCTAGAGATTAGAAATGCGTTGCGTTAGGCTCCAAGGATGGTTAGAAGAAAGTATCTCAACTTCACAATTGTGGTTAGATTTGTATCATATTGTCGATGATTTGATATAAATTATGTATATATATTTTGTTAAATTCAACCCTCATGTTTCCGAATATTATAATATGACCCTTGATATTAGCTTTGAAAAATTAAATGACTCCACAAGGTCCCAAAACGTGTCCTGCATGTCCCTACGGTACCCCCTGAATTTAATTTAATTTAATTTATTTTTTTAAAGAAAAGGAAAAAAAAGGAGACATGCTCCCTACCTTGTTCGTGTCTGACATGGCTATGAAACCTATTTTGAAGCGTTGCTGCTTCATAGAGGGAACTAACCCGGAACAAATGAAGTATATATCAATACCATACTACTATATATCTCCTACAATTCCCCCAGAACTCTAAAAACTAAGAGCAAAATTGAAAGAATCCCCAAGCAAAAAATAAAGAGACATGATTTTTGTTTTAATTCCAATTTTTTGCTAGTTTCCTTCTTCTGAATCTTTTTTTTGAGAAATTAATTATTATTACCTTGGCTAATAAAGATTTGTTTGAGAACTTTATAAAGAGGTCAATGGTAGGAATTTGGTTTGGTTTGTCTTCATAAATGTGACCCTAATTAGGTAAAATCAGATGAAAATGTTGTGCTCTTTTATTTGTCTTTGAGTATCTCTTAAATTATCTTAACTTGTCAAATTAAATCCGAACCTATATATATGCTTCAATGATGCCAACAATTGGTGGCACTAGAGGCATTATTTCACCGCAATCTCCACCGTCATATTATTGAGATTTTCTTTTTCCTTGTGTGTTTATTATATAGGGCTAACTTAGAACTACCAAATAAACAACAAAAAGCATTTGTGCTGATTACTGAAGGCTTGGTGATACTACCACTTGCTAATTTATTGGGTCTTCTCAACAGGATGATAGTTTGTTTTTGATCATTAGCTTGTTTGCTTGCCGATGTTTTTCCAGTTACACACTCAAGCATGTTTTCTTTCAAAACAATTAGGCTTAAATGAAGTAAATATATTAAAGTTTGCTTTTATGTGGGAGGAAGGATGGACACTGTCACTTCATTGCTAGATTCATTGCATGTGGACCTCACAAGTTTAAATGCTACTACTGCTATGATTCATATATAATGTTGCAGTTGCTACATGTTTCTAAGAATCAGACATGGCAGTACTGATTATTGGGTTTGACAACATTGAAAATGTTAGCATTTGAGGACAGTGTGTAATTGATGAGTGTTGTACATCTGGGAGCTATTGAATTCATAGAACATGTAGGTTTCACATGGGAATAACATTGTATAGAATGGCAACGGTTTAATGAAAACCTGAAAAGATATACTATTTTTAAACTTAATCCATACCTGTTAGGAATGTGTAATGACTGTTGTTTGAACTAAGGAAAATAAAATTTAGGAGTTATAATGAATCAGTGTAGTGTTAGCTATGAAGCACCGACACTACAAAACAAGCGCCATAGGTGTGTTGGATACGGAGACACGGTGGGGACACGTCACGTAGCATGTCCCTTTATTTAATTAATTTGTTTTTAGGGGACACGCCGGGACACTTTGGGACACGGCAATTAGTTTTTTTTTCCCTCTTTTCTTTAGAGCTTTTGATGGATATTAGATGTTGAATGTCTATTACTTTTTGCTTAGATTTAAAAAAACATATAAACGATAAGTGTCAATTTAAAAGTGATTTTTTTTTTTTTTAAATATCAATTTTGTGTTTGTTTTTGTTAATTTTATTGTTTGTGGATGTATATTAATCTATATAGTAAATAAAAATATATGCAAAAAATACTTATTACCGTATCCCTGCTGTGTCCATGTTTTTTTTTTCGAAATTACCGTGTCTCGTGTCCCGTGTCTGTGTCCATGTGTGTGCTTCTTAGAGTGTCGGTGTAATATATGTCTGATATAGACCTTGCCATTTAGAATTGTTCATGCAATATTCATATTAAGCCACATCTGAAGGGGAAATTGATATTAAATCTTTTCTATAGGATCATCGGAAAGGTCCTCAAAATATGTTCAGGCCACTCTTATCTAGTGTGCCCAGTTCCACCTTTTATGTTGGAACTGCAAGTGCCGCACAACGTGCTTTGATATCTAGGAACTCCTCAGTCACAACTAGCAGTAATGCGAGTTCTGATCAAGCAACAAGTGGTGCACATGATACTGAAGGGAGTGACCAGAACCAGGATGATATGGCTAGCGAACGTGGAAAGGCACAATATCCCAATTTTCAGGATGACATATTTACCTTTGAGAAGGAAGATGGTGTAAATGAAGATATCAGTCCTGGAATCCGGGATGCATCACCTAATGTCGATCGTGGTAATTTTAGTGGAGGTGGTTCTCAACTTGGTGGCTCTGAAAATTTTGACTACCATGGCACTCCTATAGCTATCACTGCAACTTCTGAAGTTTTGGAGGTCGAGGGTATTCCTGAAGTTGATAGTATTGAAGATATGGCAATCTGTTCTAAATGTGGCCATGGGTATCGCTTCATGGAATTAACAGATGGAGATTTGAAACTTTGTCCAGACTGCAGGTCAGATGGACCTTTGACTGCCGCTAGTCCAGTGCCAACCGAAATAATTTCCAAGAACTCACCAACTCTGTCGATGAAAATTTCAGATGAACGTATGGCAATTAATGCAATGGAGCCTCTAATAGACATACCTGAATCTTCAGAAGTGACTAATATAGTTGAAGCAAGGGCTGCCCAATATGAGGAACATGTTCAGGAAGGCCAGACTTCCTATGCTGAACCAAGCCTCAATTTATCATTGGAAAATTCTATTGCACAGAAATTGGCAGAGGAAGATGTGGGAAGGTTAGAAAACCAGCAAGTGATAGGCCAACCAACTGTAGGCTATAACCCATCCAATGGTGACACTGGGGCCCAGCGAATATGGCACTCAAAACACTATCCGACTTTAAAGCTAGATGTTTCAGAAGGTGCAGGCATTTCCATACTACTGAAGAGGTCAAGCAGCGTCAAAGGGCCTGTTGTTCAAGGCAGGACTTTCACTGCCTCTAGTATTTCTTATGATGATCTGTCCTATGTGAGAGATGGGGCACAAAGCATGAGAAGTTCCCTTGGACAGGGCAGTGCCTCTGCATCATCCTCTGTGGACTTGGGCTCAGCTAGGCAAACAGAGACTCGTGTACAGTGGCAGTTAAGTGGAAAGAAATCTGACATTGAAACTTACAGGTCTGACATAAACATGAAGCACCAATGCACAGGGTCATCTTTGTCTGGAACTTGGAATCAAACTTCCCAAGGTTTGGATTCAGAAAGTGCAGGAATAGATGATACATGCACTCAAGTTGTATGCAACAATTACGACGGAACAATGGTTGACCCTACATCAGAATTGTTGACCAATACTTTAAATGTCCATTCAGGAGACAGTTCGGTTGCTTCTTTTTCAAATGTTGAAGTTTCTGCTTCTTTTGGGAACGGTGAAGACTTCCAAAATGACGCAAAGAGTATCTCAGATCGAGAAGAGCCTTCTACATTAGAGGAAGCTACATTGCCAAATTCTGTTGTTGATAGGGTGAATGTTGTAGAGGTTCCCAATCAGAGCTCATTGGATACAATATCAGAAATAGAAACTGAAAATGGTCATCTGGGTATGCCTGGTTCCGAGTCTGATGTTGGTTCCCCAGATACAAGGAGCACCATAGATGAGTTACCAGAGCCTTCTGTTGCTACTGCATTTGATAAGGATATAACTGCTTCAGTTGCAGAGCATGACACCTCGGATCATGCACATGGCATCTTTGGTATGTGTATCTTACATTATAACTGGTGATGGTATTTTTTTTGTTTGTCTTGTTATGTTTTGTTTTCCTTTCTCATGGTCATATCCATGGTCATTAGAATCTTGGGATTCACAATTCGAGATGAGTATCAACCAAAATGATTTGATTCGTGCTATTGAACCTTAAATTGAGTGGATCGTACAAGTCAATTGCAATTTTCTATGATTCACTGTGATTCAGTTATGTGTGCATGAAAATGAGATCAATTAATTATATTGCTACATGTGGTTTTTACGTATTTAAGTATGTACAACTTTTTATGGTGATATTTATTTCATTTTAAACATTGTGAGTTCTTTTATATGTATGTACATATATAAAATCTTGTATTATGTTAAATAAAGTGTATCTTACGATTCACTATATTAGCAAAATGATTCACGATTTGATTCGCATTTTGACAACAATGGTCATATCATATCTCTAATTTATTACTTAAATTAGAGATTTTTACTTCTATATGTTAGTTTTCTTTAATAAGTCGGGTTTCCACATGCTGGATATCTGTCCCGTTTGTGTTGCATCTATTCTACGGATATTCAAATATTGAATTGATGTTTATTCATTTGATAAGCTTAAAATTAAATTATTTATCCAGAGGACCTTCTTTTATTGTTTTGACAATTATCACTTCCTAGCATTTGTCTTGAAACATTTTAATCTGTCAAAACTTGGCTGTGTGATTGAATATGTATTTGACTTGGGAAAACAACACGGTGAATGAATTTGTTTTATCTGAGTACTGGTTCAAATATCTTTGCTATGACAGAGGAATCAACTGTAACGGTGGAGGGCTACGGTGGAACCAAACCAAGAAGCCTGACGTTGGAGGAAGCAACCGATACAATACTCTTTTGCAGCTCTATCATTCACAATCTGGCTTACAAAGCTGCATCCATAGCAATGGAAAAGGAAAACTCAGTCCCATTGGAGGGCTCAAGACCAATGGTGACCATTTTAGGAAATTCCAATTCCGATACAAAGGACCCACCACGTGGCAGAATTCCAGGAAAACGCACTTCCAAGTCCCATAAAGTGAGTCAGAGACAGGAGGAGACCGACACAAAACCGCCTTTTGACAACAACATTGGCAGTGACGAGAAAGTGGACGTATCTACTACACACATTGTTGGGGTCCCCAATAAGGGCGATAGTATGAAGCCTCCAAAGCTGGAGTCCAAGTGCAATTGCTCAGTAATGTGAAAGCCAACCTTCTCTGCCATCTCTTGGTGCACCCTCTATCCCTTGTTTTTTTCTTTTCATTTTTGGGGTTGTTTTAATGTTTGCCAATATGCGTTTTGATTGGTTCAGATTTTTTTGTAAGGACAGCTGTCCTATTGGTGACATACGATCGATCGATGTAAAGTTCTAATTTTTATTAGGCTGATAAATAGTGAGAGGCCTTGGAGGCTTGTGTTGAGACTGCTCCAATTTGCCCTATTCTTGTTAGTCAAATTGTATTTGTTTCCTAGTGTCCCCCATTAGAGAGAAGTGTGAATTCAAACCCAATTCATTCATATTCATTGTGCTTGTTGCGTATATAATGCCTTCATTTATTTTGGTTCTTGGCTCAATCTTTTGAAACATTTGCTCTTCTTTTTGGCCCATTTGATGTTTTTATTATTTGACAAACATATGAAAAAATAAAACAAAAAGGTCATTTTTGTCATTCTCGTGCACTCTTAACTGTAAGGTCAGGAAGTTATTTCTTTTTTATTGTGTTAGTTGTTGGGTTTTCAGATATATCTTATTAAATTGTGGTTGTCCAATTTGATTTAATTCTTCTTATATTAATGACAAAGATTATTATTATAATTTTTTTTGCTTTTTCATTTTTAAAAAAGAGGACTTTGAGGGGCAGTTGCAACTTCCAACATACACATACACTAATGATGTTGTGTTTAAATCTTCAATTTGTCAAGAGATTTATGAAGGAAAAAGTCAATGAAATAAAATTCATTTTACTTTCACTTATGCTTTTTTTATTTCTTTTCTTTACAAATACAAAATCACACATTGTTGTTATATCTGTTGCTCTATAAAGAAAGGGAAGTTGTAAACGGCTTAAGACAAATCCAATCACATCAACCAAATAGTTCCATCCGAAGTGGTTCCATGCTTCTTGTAACCCTCGCCGTGTCCAAACATTTGCATCATTTTCATCTCTAATTTCTGACCTTTTTCTTTTGTGTTTTTGTCAAACTGTTGAGACTAACAATGACAATAAAACTATAAAAAAGTTCTGGGTTCATTATTTTCAACCATTTTGCTGCTTTTCCATTATTACTATTTTTTATTTTCATTTATTTAGCCATTCATAAATAGTCAATTTGAAAGGAGAAGGTGGACAATATTGAATATTGGTGCTATTACATATTGTATTATTAAGTGATGAGAAATCTTATATATTATGAAAGTAAAGACTATATAGTTAGATTAGTCGGAGGTGATAAATGTTTATTAGGCCTCATTTGAGAACAGACTATTTTAATAATTTTTTAATTTTTTTATAAAAATATGTGCAGAAAAGTAGAGAGAGTGAACTTATAGTGATTTTTTGATTTTTTTGCTAAAACTAAATGTTGCCAAACGAGACCTAAATCTCATTTGTGATAACACTATGTAAGATGATGTTATTGTTGTCTAACTCTTCCTTTTCGTCAATGTAAATGAGGTTTGAATTGTATGCTTGCACAAGTAACAAACAACCAGAGTAAATTGGTTGGAGGTTTGGCCAATTAAGCACTTGAATGGCTAAGTTAGTTCTATTGCTCTTGAAAATAATTTTACTATTGTTATCTTAAATCTAATATCATCTACTCTACGATAGATGCATCTTTTATTTATAGAGCGAAAGTGGTTTTTCTTAATCACATTTTCTCTCTTCTTAACCATGTGTGGATATATGAACTTTGATATCGATATATATTTTTACCTTGATATTACAACTTTCACGATCCTACGAAGACTTTCATCTACATTTTGACTTGGTATGTTGTCTTTCCATAACATATCAGATTGTTTTTTTTCAAGTTAGTTGAAGGACAATTTGTTCAAATTAAAACAACAAGAATCAAAATGAAACTCAGATAAAATTGACCATCCTTTTTGGGAGGTGTTGTGCACGCAAAAGCAAGAGCAAAAGCAAAAGCCAATTCAGTAGAGAAGGAGACCTCTCAAGTTGCTTTTTGGGAAGTTCTTCTTCCCAATTAAGGTAAGATTAGATTATAAGAGAAGCAAAGTAGCAAAAAAGAAAGATCAAAGGTTGCTCCTGCAAATATATATAATATGTCAATTCTTTGTTCTTTATTCTTTATTCTGCATTGAATCTTAAGACATCTTATTTCCAAAAAATTAAAATTAAAAAATCTCAATCATCTAAGGCACCTTTGAATATGTTCACTACTTTTATGCCATTTATGTAGCTTTTTGTTCTCTCATGTTTTGAAATTCCTAATTTTCCACCCAAATCACCAACCTGAGAATTTTTTTATTGGAAGGTTATAGTCCTATTAATGGAGAATGTTCCTTGCATATAATGTCAAATTTTGTTTCATATTTGGCACAAGATTTAACACTGTTAAATTTGACACTCACTCTTTATATCTATCTATGTTATGATTAGGACACACTCTTATTTGACATTGTGTATGAAAGAATTTAAAAAAAAAAAAAACAAAAAAAAAATGACATTTATACTTTTAAACAATATCACTAAATCTTAGAAATTTAAATAGAATAACATGTCAAAATATGAGTTTAACATTGCTAAAATGACAAAATCACTTAGAGCATCTTCAATTCTTGAATTTTTTTTTTTTTTTTTTTGAAAGTGTCAAAATCCATCTCTAATTCTTTCATCAAATGTTTATCAAATCAAGGCATCAAATCCTTCAACAAATTTGAATTTGATTAAAAACTAAAAGGATAAAGTATAGAAAATGATTATTTTTATTACATTTGATGAAAATAAAAATTTGTCACAAGAGAGAAATTTTTAGTAAATAAAAATTTGATGAAATTGTTAGAATAATTCATATTAAATCAAGTTTTTTACTCAAATTTATAATCAAATCAAATATAATAAAAAAGATATGAAACGATTAGAGATGTTCTTAGAAATAATGGTACATCCACAAAAATGTCACATCTATTAAATTAATGTCACTTTGACAATTTTAACTACCTACAATATTGCAATAATTATCCATGTATGAATGTTTGTTTCCTTCCTTGTGAAGGCATTTTCTCGATCTCTATAGAGGCTTAAATCATTTCTTCTATGGAAGTTATTTTTCTCTTTTTGAGATCTTATAATAGTGTTGTACCAAATTGATCCGATCTTTTGTTGGTTTTGTAATGAAAATTTTCTTACTAATCTTAAAAAAAAAATCATACTAAAAGATAATTGGTATAATTGACAGAGCCAAATCAAGAAATAGATTTCATTAAAAAAAAATCTCAAAATGGATACAAACACTTTCAAGATTTAAAATATTTAATATCAAAATATCATAAATTAAATAATGGAACAGGCTAACGACCTATTTATTTATAGGATAAAAGATTTAACTTACTCTAACTAACTCTTGTAATATTAAAACATAACAACCATATTAATTCCTACTACATCAACAACTATAAAATTTGCTGAATTTTTTTAAAAAAGAAAAATTAGAAGAAATTTGTTTAAAAAATAAAAAAGACAAAAAGCCTAAAAACAAAAATAGGTATTTGGGAGTTAGGGGAGGCATATTCTAGATATGAAAACAAAAAGAAGGGCATATTCACTACTATCCCCAAAAGCTGAGAGAGGGAGAGGAGAGAAAGGTGGCAAAGACCGTTTGTTATACAGAGTGAAGAATCCAACAACATAACTCTCTCTCTCTCTCTCTCTCTCTCTCTACCCTAACACTTTAGAACCCTTCTTCTCTTCTCTTCTCTTCTCTTCTTCCAAGCAATCTCCAAATACACGCTTTCAAGATCTCTGAAATTCTGAATTCTTTGGCTCTCTATACATACATTTTTTTCTTTTTTGGATACAGATTAATATACACGTATATGGTGAATTGAGGTTGTTGAAAGAGGAACGATGGATGACTTGGGAGCTTCATCTAGGGCCACAACAACGTCTGCTCTGTCTTCGTCTTCTTCGATACTTTCCAATTTCCCTCTCTTCTCTGCTTTCATCGCCTTCACCATAGCCCAATCCATCAAGTTCTTCACCTCCTGGTACACCCCCCTCTATCATGTATCATATGTATATATAAACGCGATTGATTCGATTGCAATTTTACATCTTAATTTTTTTGCCGATTTGATGAACCAATGAAGAAGATAGGTTGAATTTGAAAATTTGTACCCAAAAAAAAAAAAGTGATAAAACTTCAAAACTGTAATTGGGTTGTGTGCTTTATAAATGTTTGTTAGTAAAGTTGTTTAATTTGAAGAAACCTTGCATGAATGTGATTGATATCGTTGAAGATGGTGATCTGCCCTATTTTGTTGGTTCTGATCTGTCATGTTCTTGTTCCCTTTTATGTGAAATTGTTTGTTAATTTGTTAAAATTGGTTTCCAGTAACGTAGAAATGTCTGAAAATGTCACAGTTATATCATCATATTTAAGATGTTGTATTCTAGAAAGCTTATGTTTAATCAAGTTAGAAAGTTGGTTCATTTTACATCAGGTTTCGTGTTAACATAAATTAGGGACCTAAACATATTGTTGGGGTTGTGTGGATTGTGATAAATAATGGAGATCCGAAGACTTGAATTTAGAGTAAGGGTATTTTTTTTATATTTGTGCACTTAACCGATGCCCCCACCCCCTCCCATTCCCTCTTGATGCCCCCAACCCCCTCCCTCGCAAACCCTAACCCCACCACCCACTAGCAACAACACATAGAGAGACAGAGAGAGAGAGAGTCGCGGGGAAGGGCTGGGGTGTGGCAGTAGGAGGTGGAGAGAGGTTAGGGGTGGCGGAGGAGCTGAGGAGGGGGCTGGAATGGCTACCAGAGGTGGTAGTGGCAGTGACTGGAAAGATAAAAATGGTGGCTGAGAATGGGTGTAGAGAGAAATGGGTTTGAAGAGAATTATGGTTTGTCCTTTTTGGTAATTTGACTTGGGGTATAATGGTATTAAAAAGTTTCTTACAATGTGGGGTGTCCAATAATATTTTTTTAGTGCATTTAGAAACACCCACCCTAATTCTATGCATATTTAGTTGAGGGCTTGGCTATCTCTGTATCCTAAGAAGCACAGACACAAACACGTGACTCGAAATGGGCACAAAATGAATACATTGGCATGCGAATTTCAAAATATGTCGGATACTACATGTGGGGACACATGTAAAAAATATTATTTTATATATTTATTACATGTCAAGGATAAATAATTATTGTATGTCATATATATGAATATTTAAGTCAAAGTTAATAATTTTTTAATATCTAAAGGAGAAGAATAAGGCTAAGTTTGGCATCTTCAAAAAAAGTCAAAAAATCACTATCCTATTTAAGTCACATCATCTTATTTAAGTCACATCACCTCTCTAACACATCACTTCAAACC